ATTCCCCCGTTTATTCGTCATCTATGCATCTGCTGGTCGATCATCCGATTGAGTTGAAACTTTTTACAGTCATTGTTGGCACTCCGAGAAACCCTTTTGATAAAATACCGACAGAGCTCTCGTACGACATGTGGCGCGTGCGGTGAGAACAGATGTGTATAATATATTTAAATATATTATATATATTTTACTGGTGGTAGGACCTCTTGTGCGTCCGCGCGGGTAGGTACCACCGCCCTGCCTATTTCTGCCGTGAAGCAGTAATACGTTTGAAATGGTAGAGTTAACATTGTTATTTATATTTTGACATTCAACAAGTGTGTTGTACTGGCATCTAAGTTGAAATAAATGATTTTTATTTTGATTTTGATTTTGAAGCGTGGGCCCAGCCGTTGTAACTGTAGCCATACTTGAGACCTTAGAACTTATATCTCAAAGTGGGTGGCGCATTTACGTTATCGATGTCTATGGGCTCCAGTAATCACTTAACATCAGGTGGGCTGTGAGCTCGTACACTCATCTAAGCAATAAAAAAAATTTGATAATATTTTAATGCGTGTTTTTTAAAACTACAAAATCTAATTCAATTCGAAACCAGTATTACAATTGAAAGTGTCATAAAAATTACAACGTAAAATAAATCATTGACACTGTAATTTAATATTTTTCGAAATATGAGCATTAATTCTGAAGCTGTATTAATACAACCTACTTTCTCCAAGTCCAAAACTCAAAGTACACAAAAATAAAAAGTCCAAATTGCTCTAACCCGAAAACGTAAAAAAAAACAAATATATGCTATCAAACAACGGGAACATCCCATCCCTGCGAACGAACAAAAACAAACTCATCACTAAAACAGTACAGTTCGTTCAGCTCAATAACAATAAAACAATAAACTTGTCTTTACGTTAACAATTTCGCTAATTGTTTGCGCAAATATTTTCTTTTCTAAGAAATAACGTTTCGGTACTTTCGTTGCATTTATTTGGAAGGCTTTGTTTGACCTCCGAGGGTTGGTGCGGGGCTCCCGGCGCGCACTCGGACTGTTCACTTTAATTGTTTTACATCTTACACCGTTACTTTTAGAGCAAAATATATATTTTTTTTTAAAAGCTTGTATACAAGTATGTATGAACATATGTATAAAGTCGTCATGGCCAAAAAATTAAGACATCTGGTGCATTGGTATCTAGCGATGCAGCGGTGTTCGAATCCCACAGGCGGGAACCAATTTTTCTAATGAAATACGTACTCAACAAATGTTCACGATTGACTTTCACGGTGAAGGAATAACATTTTGTAATAAAAATCAAACCCGCTAAATTATAATTTACGTAATTATTGCTGGTAGGACCTCTTGTGAGTCCGCACGTGTAGGTACCACCACCCTGCCTATTTCTGCCGTGAAGCAGTAATGCGTTACAGTTGGAAGGGTGGGGCAACCGTCGTCACTATACTGAGACTTTAGAACTTATATATCTCAAGGTGGGTGGCGCATTTACGTCGTAGGTGTCTATGGGCTCCAGTAACCACTTAACACCAGGTGGGCAGAGCTCGTCCACCCATCTAAGCAATAAAAAAAATTTGTAAATATATTTTTTTTTAATACCAATACACTGCTCAGTACTACGATCGACAGTTGAAATTTACTGGTGCTATTCGGTGGAGTTAGATATCACTGATTTCACAGGAGGCGTATCACGGAACATTTAAACACAGTACTGCAAAGCTTATTCTGGTGGTAGGACATCTTGTGAGTCTGCACCACCCTACCTATTTCTGCCGTGAAGCAGTAATGCGTTTCGGTTTGAAGGGCAGGGCAGCCGTTGTACTGTAAAAACTGAGACCTAAGAACCCATGTCTCGAAGTAGGTGGCGGCAGTTACGTCGTAGGAGTCTATGGGCGACGGTAACCACTTATCACCAGGTGGGCTGTGAGCTCGTCCACCTATCATAAAAAGGTGATTTTGATGAATACATTCGAATACAGTTTTAGAGTTGATGGCAACAAAAAACAATCATCACTGACCGATGGTCGTCCGGGACCATGAACACTGTCAAGTGCTCGAAGCGATGGAACTTAAAACAAAAATAATATGTGATGGCATTTAATTGTAATAGGCATAAGTTTAGTCTACACGTGCAGAAAAAACAAAGTAACTCTTTACGCCAATAGTTACAATAAGTTGCCAAAAAGCGTTCAATTATTACCGGCAAGTAGCCTTAATAAAATTATACATATTTTGTCCATTTGTCACAAGTGATGAAGCTGGTAATTAGGGGAAAGTGGGGGAAACGCGAACGCTGGGTAATGCCGAATTCAATGGTTCTAATATGTTAGAAAGATATATCCTAATTTTATTTGCCGCCATTTCGGAGATCACGCCACCACTGATACCAGTCAATAACACGGGAGACGCGGACGCACGTATTTAAAAAGGTATGCATTTTTCAATATTTTGTATGTTTTAGATGTAATTTTTTGGTAAATTCAAGTTGATGTAACTTTATTTCTATCTACAATAATAATTCAGCTTTTACATAGTGGAATAATCACATATTACTCAGCTAAATGACAATGATGTAGTAGGCAAAATAAATTTAACCAAAATTGTTTTTTGACCTTTAATTATTTTCGATTCCGCGGGGTAAAGACGAACACTCCATGTCGGGCAATCTCGAACATTCGCCGTTACCCCACTCCCGTTTGTTGGTACCCCGTTCAACTTTTTTTAAATATTATTACAGATGCCTTGTACTTACAAAAGAAATACCGAACTGAAGTATAGTTTAGAAGATCTCAAAAAGGCTATAGACGATGTTAAAACCAAAAAACTCTCCCTGCGTAAACATATAATGTTTCAAAAACCACTAATTTTGACCATCTAATGAAAGAAGTGTTTATACAGCCATGGTCTGGATGAAAACCTTTATTTACAGACAATAAGGAAACGTAAGAAATCAAGAAGAAAACGGAAAGATGGCAAAAAAGGAACCCAAATAAAAAGACTGAAATGTAATGAGAGAACACCTTCAAGCAAGAAGTATGAAAGATTATTAAGGAATTTGAACAATATAAAAAAAGACTTTAGTGACTAGTCAAAATACAAAAAAAAAAGAAAAAGGCGAAAAAGAAAATAAAGACTACTTTTGTATTTTTTGTAGAGATAAATATATTGATCCTCCCTTTGAAGACTAGATTGTGTGCTATGTGTGCAAAAGATGGGCTCACGAGAGTTGTACTGACGGACAGTCAACATCGTTGGGTTTTAAATGTGGTGTTGATCTATGTCGTTAATAATGTTAGTTCGTAATCACCCCACTTGGTGTTCGTATTTACCCGACTGATGTCGGGCAAAGCCGAACACTAAGGGTTTTGTTTTTCTTTCATATTGTTGCAATTTATTAAAAAAATATAAATGATGATTAGTGAATAAGTTAGACAGATAAGTAAACTTTATAATAAAAAAAATTTGAAAAATCTGTGATTAAATTCCATTGTTTTATTTAAGTTTTCCCTTAGGTGTTCGTATATCCCCCACTTTCCCCTACGTGTGGACGACGCAACGCAGACTGTTGCATTTTTATTGCTATTATATTTTGTACTTTATTCTTATAAGTATAAGATCGTTAATGTGTCTTTTAAAAAGAAAGATACTAAAATGAATATTTTTTTCAACATTAAAGATAAAATGACAGAGTTGTTCTTCTCAGGACTTTGGTTCTTTTCGGAGCCCGTAGTTCACTCTAATTTCCCATTCAACAAGTTTGTTATGACAACTTTACAATTGAACTATCCATGAATGAGCTCACGGTGGTAATTTTTTCTGGAATTTGATAGACATTAAAACGTGGGCATCGTCACCCACCTCGTACAAAGGACCCGAAAGCATCAGTGTCGCGGCAGAAATAGTATTCAGACAGCTTTGTTGAAATTTAAGAAAATGTTAAAACCCGTAAACACTACAAAATAAAGGTCATCGTTCGCTTCCGAAACATGAAGTTGAAGTGGCAGAATCTCTTCCCTGCAGCGCCACCTACCGATCACATACTCGAACCTTCTATGCAATAACCAAAATTGACTTTATCAAATAAGCTCCTTCAATTATCTCTTTTATTTTCTTTAAAAAACGATGACGTATCCATTTGATTCTATGCAAATTGTAGGTATAAAACCGAACCGTTAAAGATAAGTAACATTCATTTACAAATTTTAAAGAAAATTTAAGACATCATTTAACAGATATCAAAGTAATAAATTGTTAGAATTCATAAATATTCATTGAATTCATTCACAAAATCAATGTCAATCATAATAATATGTAAAATAATATAAAATTATGACTTCGAGAACGGAGAGAAAAATAATTAATAAACTTTATAAAAAAAATATCTTGAAGCTGTTCAAACAGAAATGCACTTAATGCAATCGATTAATCAACAATCTAAGATATAAATCAGTGTAGAATTAATGAAATGACCAACAAACACATGGACCGTAGGAGCGGCCCGACGCAGCGCCGAGAGGTTGCGATTATCGGCGCGATCTGTAACGCGACGTACAGTTTATTACACAAGATGCGCAGGCGCANAAAAAAAATATCTTGAAGCTGTTCAAACAGAAATGCACTTAATGCAATCGATTAATCAACAATCTAAGATATAAATCAGTGTAGAATTAATGAAATGACCAACAAACACATGGACCGTAGGAGCGGCCCGACGCAGCGCCGAGAGGTTGCGATTATCGGCGCGATCTGTAACGCGACGTACAGTTTATTACACAAGATGCGCAGGCGCAGTGGCAAAGTTCACGCGATCCCACCGAGCCATTCCGGTAACGCACCTGATCGCCGGAGCGAGACGGATCGCTCTGTTTTAGCAGCGGCCAGAGAGGGACGGCATTACGGATAGATGTTGCGTTAGATGGTAGCCACGCCCCTTCAGCGATCGGAGGCTCGAGTCCACCTCCGCGGGCATTCGTGCGCGTACGCCGTGCGAGACACACGCACCTCTCCAACACTCAAAATGGAATCGTCCGCACGATATCAATAACATACATCCCAGTGACGTTTCAATTATTAATAACATTACTTTTTATGAGAACCGTCAAAATGTTGTCGTCACATTAAAATCGAAGGTAACGGACGTCAACTCAAAAAGTGCACGTTCAAGCTAGAGTCGTTTTCAGTTTCAGTTACGCGACACGTGCAAATTGAACGAGACATAAACGCTATGTTTGTTTACAACGAAAGTGACCGGGAACTGTGACATTTGAAACGGACATTAGCCGGGGCACTTAACGTGCGTGCGACTCCAGTGAAATTATTGACTCAAATAATTGAGTTCAATTCCGTCGTATTGTGAAGTGTATGTGGGATTTTGGCAACTCAGCCGTTACGATACTGTGCTCTGACACCAAAGATAGAAAGGTAAGTGTTTATCACCCGTATCACGTGGACCAACACGACGTAAACAATTACGATGATTGCACCCATCACATAATGAAAATAAATCAACAAAACTTTATTTACAAAAATTTAATCTTTTTGGGTTTGTGACTGACCCTTAAGAATTATTACATTATTTTTATTATTTTCATCGAGCAAACCTCACGCGTCCTGTAAAAGACTTCAACGAGCCCTAAGCTTTTCACGACAAATATTATATATTTCTCAAAATAGAAACCACAGAAACAAAAATAAAAAGACATGACAAATTGTTACATTTCAGTGCTATAAACAAAATTAAAATTTTCACATTATATGAAACTCAATTACTTATACAGTATACACTAAGTACGTCGTACCTTTATTTACCTAATGTTTATAAAAATATACTATCGTAGCGAAGTGTGAATCAAATACAACAGATCTGGCAATCTGAACAACAATGTACGCTAAGTGACACTAACTCTATAATAAACAAAATAATTTAATTCATATACTCAAATCTGTATCAAATATAGGACATGGCATAATTAATACCTTATACATCGAACTAAGCGACGAAGATTTTATACCTATAGTAAAGTTCACAACCCACCTGATGAGAAGCGGTTACGGCTCGTCAGGATTACAGCATCCATTCTCATGATACTGCCCATCTGTATCTTGAGGAATAATATCCCTTAGGACGAAAATGCATCACAACAGTACTTAAAACTAAGGTTTCAGTATTAGGAAGATATATTGACAAGCTTATGACCAATCTGATAGTGAGTGGACACCTTCTTTCTTAAACAGCAACGCCAGGGGGTCCCTAACCCTGTTTGCCGACTCGAAATTAACAAATAATAATTTAAAAAGGATTTTTTATGTATGTAGTGCCATTGATGTATCACGATAAAACTCTTATAGCAGCATCGGTATGAATAACATGTTCATTGACATAGTGTTGTACCCGACATCACCTATGTGTATGCTATTTTTTTTTAACCGGTGGTAACAACTGGTGGTAGGACCTCTTGTGAGTCCACACGGGCAGATACCACCACCCCGCCTATTTCTGCCGTGAAGCAATAATGCGTTTCGGTTTGAAGGGTAGGGCAGCCATTGTAACTATACTGAGACCTTAGAACTTATCTCAAGGTAGGTGGCGCATTTACGTTATAGATGTCTATGAGCTCCAGTAACCACTTAACACCAGGTGGGCTGTGAGCTCGTCCACTCATCTAATAAAAATAAAAAACAAATTAAGTGAGCTAGCCTCTGGACCAATTTTGACGGTCACTTATAAAATTTAACATCATTTAATCACCATTCTCGTTGACAAGAAGGGCGAGTCATCAGTGACCGCGGTGAGACTAGCTGTCTATGTATAGCTTGTAACTGTACACTTACCCGCATTGTTTTCATAAAACGCCACAAAGCAAAAAATATTTTAATCCTCAAACTTTTATTTAAAATAAAAAAATTCTTCGAATTCTGCTTGATTTGCAAAAGTTTAAACGAACCTAATTCAATGAGACAAAACTTAAGCTCCTTACGAAGTGTCAAAAGGGTACAAAAAGCTTTGAAACAAAAGCTCTCTAAATTCTACGAAACAATACAGAAAACAAAGTGTAAGTTGGTCCTGACCACAGAAACAGTGGATTAGAATAACCCTTTACCGGTGGTCGACTGGCAAAGAAATAACAAAAATACTAACAAATATTATGGTAATTTTGCGAATACATCTGAGCAAAAAAAAAACAAAAAAAAAAGAATGTCAAACACAGGTATGGTTCACTTGAGCATGATTTTTTCAAACTTAAGAAACATTTTCTTACAGCAGATGAAACAAGTTCACAACCACTTTGGAGCAAAGCGGTTATCTGAATCTAATAAAGTCAATGACTGCAACTTAAAACATTAGAAGTTCAAAAATCGAGTATTTGTTGTTCTACCGCACAAAAAGGCAAGATTGAAATCCATGGATAAGGTGCTAATCTAAATTAATTCATTTTCTATGTTATAAATAATGCAGGTATCCTATTGCAAATTGTTTACACTGTAAGGATATATAATAATAAAAATATCTATGCTCACGGCTGACGTTTGTTCAGAGATCACCATCGTCACTAACTATCTAATATATAGAAATAGGCGTGATGCTGGTACCTACCTGGCAACTAATTTACTATCTTAATAACAAGATACAAAAAACTTCCTTATGACTATAAACAAACACACACTATTTATTGTCTGTTATGAACGCTAATTATTTACACAGCCGAAGATTTTTTTTATCATTAACACCGCAATTCGTGTAAAATATGTCGATTTAAATTAATCCGCATGCATTACAACAGTAAAGCACAATATTGAACTTTTAAAGCTCAGTGTCTATAATTACAAGACCAAAAACGGCAGTTCCTTTTTTTCTTCTTCCTCTATTCCTTTCTATGAAACAAACTCAGGCGGCCTGAAAGACTTTATATTCACATGTTATAAATATAACAGTTATCCTATCCTTCAAACTGTAACTCAATACTGCTTTGTGGCAGATATAGGCAAGACAATGGCAACTACCCGTAAAAACATGTCACGTTAATTAGCTTTTCTATTTACTTGACAGTAATATTAGAATGTATCATTTTAATTTTCAAATGCATATATAGCATGAATATGTCTTAGCTTCACTACATAATATAACACAAAGTCGCTTTCTCTGTCCCTATATCCCTATGTATGCTTAAATCTTTAAAACTACGCAAAGGATTTTGATGCGGTTTTTTTTAATAGATAGAGTGATTGCAGAGGAATGTTTATATGTATAATAACATCTATTAAATAGTGGAGGAATCAATAATAAATTACAGTTTCCGAAGCGAAGCGAGGGCGGGTCGCTAGTAAATAATAAAGTGGGATTTTTATTTAGTCATCAAACTGATCTAGAGCAAGCACCACGCCGACCGCAACAAGGAATATACAAAACACTCACATCCACAAGCCATCGGAACCAAACACAATTGATTGTAAATGACCGTCGTCGCTCAATGAACAATCGCCCATTATATCGCGATAAGTGCGGCCATTATACGCACACAAAAAAACTCATAAAACACGTAAAACAATAATTTACCCTCGTGGGAAATAATCCCACGATCCCCGGTGTGTAGGCCGCGGCTACAGTCGTCGCCTTATATAATTTAGTATTTTATAATACTCGTAACGTGATGATAGGAAATATGCTTATCTATAATATAAAAAACATTAATTGTGGCCCATTTTCGACCGCTGCGCAACCACTGTCTGTGTATTGTTATTATATATACACACACACATAAACAAACACACACACTAGCAGTTGTATATGGACAGACTTGTTCACGGCCCACCTCACTCACTTTACGAAGTTTGCCCACGTTACTTCATGATTTTTTTTTATTGCTTAGATGGGTGGACGAGCTCACAGCCCACCTGGTGTTAAGTGGTTACTGGATCTCATACACATCTACAACGTAAATGCGCCACCCATCTTGAGATATAGGTTGTAAGGTCTCAAGTATAGTTACAAGGGCTGCCCCACCCTTCAAACCGAAACGCATTACTGTTTGACGTCAAGGTGGTGGTACCTACCCGTGCGGACTCACAAGAGGTCCTACCACCAGTAAATTAGAATTTTGAATTTTGCGACTTTGATTATTATTACACGACCAGACTGGCCCGAAGGTTTCACCTGGGTCAAACTTGTTATCCAGAGAGAATGCTACAGTTTTCATTTATTTACCCGGCCTAAAGAGTTGCTCGTATCGCTCTCTGGTTCTTAAACTACCAATCGATTTGTGGAGCCGTCGGTTCGTGAAATCACTAATTGGTGAATAAGCTGTCGTATTTATTAAAGCAGATATACACGGCGGGTCATATTAATTCCCATGATAAACTGTTTCCTTACCATTACAGATCAAAAACTATTATTGTGCGGGAAATTCATCCATATTCGTTCAGCTATTTTTGTGGTTGATAACATGTGTGATTTGTTAACTAAAATCCAAACAAAATATTCCACGAGAATTAAGTGCATGCATAGAAGTTATTCCTTCTTGGTGGAAGTCGTTGGGGAACACGTGCTATGGAAATAGCTACTCAGAAAAATTGATAAGCGTTGAGCGTATTACATCACGTACGCTTTTGCTGATACGTGTATTTCAGACTTACAGATTTCCGAGTATGTAACTGATAAATGCCAGTGCTAATATTTTAGGCTTCTGTGTAGTAGTGCTAAATGATTAGAAAAACCGTTTAAATTTTATTTGCTGTCAGTTAAATAAATAAAATCCGTGAACTTTATTTCATACTTTTCGTTGCTAATAAAAACGGGCGACGGCCCATATGATTATATGTGATCGCTGTCGCTTATAGCCCTAAGCACGTCATTACGGATCCTCCCGATTCACTAACGGTGCTTTCAGGTACCTCAAGCACCGGTCACCATCCTCGCCGAACCCGTCGCTTACGACGAAGGGCTCGACAACTAAATTAACCCATAGACACAGCCTGAGTTTCTCGCCGGATCTTCTCAGTGGGTCGCGTTTCCGATCCGGTGGTAGATTCTACGAAGCACTACTCTTGTTAAGGCCAGTGTTAGCAACACTCCCGGTTTGCGCCCCGTGAGCTCAAGGAGAAGCTGAAATAGCCTCTCAATGCTATCAGCATAGGTCAGAAAAAAAAGTCGCACATAGTTATCAGCAAAGCCAAGAGCATAATCAATCCTCGGTCTGTCGTTAAAAACTCTTTTCAAGTCTCGGCCGCAGACGGTCACATTCGAATGTCTTCTGTCTCGATTACTATAAATAAACTATCACAGCATCACTTATCACATTAGATTCCTTCTCTAATGAGGAACTAGAAGCCCCTAGATCTATCAGGCATGGCCAATTCCCCTTAATTTATTAATTTTTTATTGCTTAAATGGATGGATGAGCTCATAGCCCACCTGGAGTTAAGTG